GTTCAATCCCCGGCATCTCCAGTTAAAAGGACCAGGCCGTAGGTGATGTGAAAGACCTCCCCTGAGACCCTGGAGAGCCATGAACTGGGGCTGTGGCTCAGTGGCAGAGCATCTGCTTGGCATGCAGAAGGTCCCAGGTTCAATCCCCAGCATCTCCAGTTAAAAGGACCAGGCTGTATTAGGTGATGTGAAAGACCTCAGTCTGAGACCCTGGAGAGCCATGAAGTGGGGCTGTGGTTCAGTGGCAGAGCATCTGCTTGGCATGCAGAAGTTCCTGGGTTCAATCCCTGGGATCTCCAGTTAAAAGGACCAGGCTGTAGGTGACTTGAAAGACCCCTGAGGGCTTACTACGCAGTTTTTTTTGTCAATAGCATGCTATTCCTTGGTCCATACCCCAATCCACAGTCCACACCAGTGTTCCCTCTAAGCTGAGTGAGTGTGAGCAAGCTCACAGGTTTTTAGCCTCCAGCTCACACATTTTTGTCTCGGCTCAGGAAAGGAGGGCTCCAGAGTGAACTAATTTCTGCCGTAGCCAAACGGCTCACTCCCAACTTGAATGCCCCATAGCTCACAAGGTAGAATTTTTGCTCACAAGACTCCGCAGCTTAGAGGGAGCACTGGTAGGCCATACTGGCCTTGAGGGACCAGTGGCCTGGTTCACTTTAAGACAGCTACATGGGAATATATGCAGAAAACAGCAAGAGCCCAGTAGCGCCTTAAAGACGAACAAGATTCGTGGCAGGATGTGAGCTTTCGTGAGTCGCCGCTCACTTCTTCAGATACGGACTCACAAAAGCTCGCACCCTATCACCAATTTTGTTAGTCTTTAAGATACTACTGGACTCACGCTCTGGACTCCTGCCAGCCTAGCAGTCCGAAAGCAAGAAATTGCAAGTAGATAAATAGGTACCACTTTGGTGGGAAGGTAACAGCGTTCCGTGCGCCTTGGCATTGAGTCATGCCGGCCACATGACCACGGAAATGTCTTCGGACAGCGCTGGCTCTTCAGCTTTGAAACGGAGATGAGCACCGCAACCCTAGAGTCGGATTCGACTGGCTTTCGAGCAAGGGAACCTTTACCTTTTTAAGATACTACTGGACTCTCGCTCTTTCCTACTCCCGTGGGTAGCCGTGTTAGTCTGTCTGTAGCAGCAGAAAAGAGCCAGAGTCCAGTAGCACCTTAAAGATCAAGGGCAGTACGACAGGTGTGATCACTGAATGGGCAAGAAGATTCCTTTGTGGTTCTCTCAGCTCGGTTCTTACTTGTTAAGTCACCCACTTAACAGAATAGTCGGAGAGTGATTCAGGAAAAGATCAGCGTTATTCAGCAACTCGAACACAATTCCAACACGGATCAACATCTGATAGCCAGAACAGCTTTAGCATTGAAGCTGTTCCACTTTTAAACTCTCCCGGCTAATGTAGCCACGCCCTATTGTACAATATCAACCTATGAGGTTGTAGAGTGAAGGTCCAATCACATTAGTTCCCGCTCAGGGAGCTTGCTGGTACTTGATTGGCTGGTTCTTCCTGGGCTACCAATATGATTGGAGGGATTTGGACCCTAGCCCAGGACGAAGCTTCACATGGGGTGCGTTCAGACGAGACATTTGCAACGGTATAGGTGCCGGTTGGAATCGGTGTACTTACCAGCGTTCACACAGCGAACATCTGCCTTCCGTCCCTAACCATTGCAAAGAGCTTTAAACCGTTGTATTCTGCCACTAGGTCCCCAAGTGGTGGTATCCTGAGTGCAACGGTTGTAATCGCTTTACCCCCCTGTCTGATCGCTCTCATGGTGTTTCAATAGGGTGATTCACATACAGTTTGCCTTGCATTGAATACACCACATTACTACAACACATCTCCCGGGTCTTGGCTTGCCTTTCCTGTCCGCAGCGCTTTCGGGGTTTGGGCAGGTAGCCGCATGGATGAACGACAGACAACGACGTGGTGCATAGCACACTTTATTGGCACACAACAAGACAAACGGATAAACGGCCGGCAGGCCAACTATATACACACCTGGGGACCGCCCCTGGTCACCATTGGTGGGTTCAAATCTCCCGCCACGGATCCCATTGGTTCCCCAGTGGAGGGACTAGGATCCTAGTCCCCATTGTTGTTTCAGCCTGAAG